GCTTAATCAGGCGCGGCTGTGCCTGGCGGACCCTGAACATCTGGATCCCGGCGAGGCCCCTCCCCCGCCCCGCCCCTCCTGGGCTGCGCCGCTGCGACCCTGCGCCAAGGGCCTCCAGCCCGCGATTTTCGCGAAAGCGAGGGAACCCCCGGGTCTAACGTCCCGCGAGTCAGGGCCTGTGCCGTGGGAAATAGCCATTGGTTAAGATCGATGCTGTCTCCCATTTCACAGGTGGGAAACAAGCTCCAGGACCCCTCTGCAGAGCTAGGATTCAAGCCCACACATGTCAATTCAGAGCCCTGAGCGCTTAAGCTCCCTCACAATTACTGTGCTTCATTCATTCCAAACAAAGCCCTTCCCAGGTATTTTCTTGCAACAACCCCTAAGGAAGTACCCGTAGCGTTGTCTAATTTACAGATGAGGAAACTGAGGCTCGGGGTGGGAGGAGTGGGCCCAGATACAAGCGAGAGAAGCCAAGGGAGGCGGCCGGAGGTTGGAGCATCGTGCACAGGAGGCGTCGCTTAAAGCGCAACAGGAAGGAAGGACTCCCCGCATCCTCTGGCAGAAGGGGAAACTGAGGCCAGAGAAGGGGCGCTGGTCTAGGTTGCCGGAGTTGAACCAGAGGGCTGGGTTGCCGCCCCCCCACCCCCCTTTCCGCTCTACGAGGCCGCTGGGGGCGGGAGCGGAAGGAGGACTTGACCCTGGCCCCCCAGGTGAGCCCCCGCGCCCCTCCTGCCGTTCCCGAGGGAGCAGGTCCAGGTGAGGGGCGGAGGGCCGGCGGGCGGCCGGGGTCGGGTTTCAGGAAATCCGCCGACATTCCTTCGGGGCTTAAGAGGGAAAGTTGACTCGGCGCCGCCCCTCGCCCCCCCCCCCACTTCCTACCCCCCGGGGCGGCCCGGCCGGGGGCGGCAGGCGCGGGGCGCTGCGGCCGGCCTGGGCGTGAATCAGCGGCGGGCCGGGCGTCCGGGAAGCGGCGGCCGAGGTCAGGGCGGGCATCGGACAAGCGCCCTTTGTCCCTTGCCGCCCTCACCACGACCCCGCTGACCCCCACCCTCAAGCTGGGTACAGGCTGAGGAGGAGGCACGGCACCCTGGCGCCGGCGCTTGCTGACAGTGGGGGTGGGGGGGAAGGGGCACAGCTGTCACCCCCCGCACACACACCGCAGCTGGCGCCTCCTGCAACCCAGACATCCGAGGTTCTCCAGGATACAGAGGGGCAGAGAACGTAGGCCTCCGTGGCAGGGTGCGCAGGGGTCCTGACCTAGACCTAGGCGGCACTCCTGAGGTCCCACCTCCAATGCCAACGCGGTCTGAATTTTTCAAGTGCAGTGTCCAAAGCTTTGAACCTAGGCATCCCAGCTACCCAGGATCAAACTCCAGGGTAGAAATGATAAAGCCCCACCTTGTCCCGAACACAGGTCTTGAACCTAGGTTCTGCTGTCCCAACCTCATGTCCAGGTCTGGACCCACATTGCCCCTGTTTCCTGGGAATGCAGGCCTGGAACACATGGGCAGAAAATCCTATACTGAGGGGCCCTGAGCATGGGGGTCTCAGCATGGGAGAAGCAGTACTGTGCTCTGCCTACTCTCACTCGCTCTCCTTTCCTATGGACCACTGAAGGTGCTATTACCACTGCCTTTTCCCCTGTGTCCCCTCAATGCTCTCCAATTACACAGGGAGCTAGAGCTGGACGATCTCCCCCAACTGAATCCTTAGATGCAGAGTGTGCAGACTAAGAAGGAGCCCTCCCCCTGCCCTGGGAGGGCCCTCTCTTCATCTGCCCCCTCAGTACATTCCCAGCCACCTTCAAGGACTTGGGTCAATATTTGCTAGAAGTTCCGTCAATGCTGGTTCCCCTGCCAGTGCAAAAGGCAGTGGGACTGGGAAGGAAAGGGTTAAGCGGCTGGGAGCACCGAAGGCAGGGAAGCCAGCACCTGGGGGTCAAATCTCTTTCCTTAAAGTCAAAGGTATGAAGTGAAGATTACCCAGGGGATAAAGGGCTTGCTCAGGGCAGGGCTGGGCAAATGATCCTTACCCTTCTATGGGTAAGGACCAGAGAGGGATGGCTACCAGCTTGGGTCACATAGCAAGTCAGGGGTGTGGGTCTTATTGGGACCCCAAGCAGCATGATTCATTGGGATTGAATTTTCTTGCCACTTGGAAGAACTGAGAATTCCCCACCCTTCCATTTTGCAAATATTCCTTTAGCTCTTCTGTGGCCCTCACTGGGCCCAGCATGAGGTCCTAATGGCTCTCAGGGCACTCAGAGTTTTAAAGAAAAGAAGTCTCAAGAGAAAGACCAGTTTCAAAGAGCTGTGTTACAAAGACAACTTTAAAAGGTGAAGGGGATGAAGAGTGCCTGGAAAGGGGGGGGGGGCCTCTGAGGTGACACTTGACCCATGACCTGACGGAAGAAAAGGTGCTAAGTGGGGGGGGGGGAGATGTGGGGGAAACGCATCCCTGCAGAGGGAACAGCAAATCTGCAAAGACCCTGTGATAGCAACAAGCATGGTGTGTTTGGGAAACAGGGCTGCAGTGGCTGGAGCGAAGTGAGGGAGAGGAAAGGGAAAAGGAGAATGAAGGAGAAGCAGGGAGAGGAGGGGGGATAGGGTGGCTGGGCAGAAAAGACCTGCTTTGCTTCTTTTAAAAGCTCCCTCTGCCTGCTGTGCAGACAAGGGCAGGAGGGTCGCCAGGGAAGCCCAGGAGGAAGCCAGGCAGTATCCCAGAGGGAGATGGTGGGGCCTGGACCCGGATGGGGTGGGGAGAAGGGGTCAGAATCTCAGAATGGGGATGTGTTTTGGAATCAGAGCCAACAGGATTTGCAGATGGATTGGACGTGGGGGATGAGCGAAGGAGAGGGTTGTCACGCACGCCTCCAGGTCTCTGGCCCGAGCACCTGGGTGGGTGGGGGAACCTTTTCCCAAAACCCGGGGATGACTGGGGGGAGGAGCAGAGATTGGGGGGAAAATATCAAGATTTCACTCCAGGAGCCTGAAGTTCTCCAGGAGGGAGTCAAACTTTTCAGGGTAGAGGTTGTGGGGGAGGGACGTGGGTATGCTGGAAACACAATTCCAGTCCAGAACTGCCACCGCCTCTTACCCCTCTGGATCACCTGGCAGGTGGAACTATGGCCCCTTTTTTCAGAGGTGACAAACTGAGACTGGGCACCATCGCTGCTCCAAAAGAACATGCCTCCAGTGCCAGACACTGTGCCAAGGGCTTCGACTGTGGCACCTTCTGTAACATTTCATCCTCTCACAGCTGGCTGGGAGCTGCCCACTGTACAGAGCAGAAAACTGAGGCTGAGAGGCCTGATTGCATCAGTAAATAGCAGTGTACCACTCCAGGGCTTTACTCTCCCCCTTATAAGCCCATCCAGAATCGAGATCCTGGGTGTGCAGAGCCTCCAGGATCCTGTCTTCCAATCAGTCTGGGGTCTAAACTGGGGATCCAAGTAACGGGGGTGGAGGGTAGTCTTGAGCAAACAATGTGGGGACTCCTGAGTCACCCTCAGACACTTTTACCCTGTTGACTGGTTAGGGATCTGGAAAGAGGGTCGAGGCCTCTAAGGGAACCCCCCTGTAAGGGGAAGTTAGAGCCCTTCCTCTCTCTGGGCATACCGCTGGGGGCAGGGCTGAGACTCCAACCTCGGGGCTGGAGGCTCCCTGGAACTCTCATCCGCCTTAGCACCCCCTAAGCCTCGCCTTGGAGGCCAGGAGCCCTTCTATCTATCGGGCGCAGAATCGGGTGCTGCCCAAGAGGAGGCGGGTGAGGCACCCGGCCAGGAGGGGTCCCGAAACCCAAGCAGTGGCCAAGAATAATAACACCGAGAAGGATCCCAGCGCAAAAAAAAGGAAGACAGACTCTATGCGTCGCTCCCGGCAGCCGGCGTTACCTGGAGTCGGCGGGCGGCGGCCGCCGGAGCGATTACTCACTGCGTGGCGCACCCCACCCGCGGGCCGCTGAACTGATGTTTCCGTGGGGAGGGGTGTCACTGAGTCGGGGGGGAGCTCCTTACGGCTCTCCTGGGAATCCTCCGCGTCCCGCTTGCGGGACCTCAGCAAACCCCGGTTCCCGCTCCCCGGGGGCCCATTTCTCCGCGTCTGTCCACGCGAGAGCTCCCTTCTAAGGTCCCCAGGAGCCCCCCGAGGAATCTCAGCTCTGTCCTGCGTGAAGTGGACAGCTGAGCCAGGGCGAGGGCCCGGGACTCCGTTGCCTTCCAGCTTTTTCTCAGTCTTCCCTCCAGCAAAGCCTGGGACCGAGGCTGCGCGCGGAGGACCAAGGAGAGGCGGGATGAAGTGGGAGGCGGGGGGCGCTGGGCCGAGAGCGATGGGACCCGCGCGTCCAGGGCGTGGGGCTGGGGAGGGTGCGACTCTTAGGCCCCTGGGGAAGGACGGGGGGTGGAAATGGGAGCAGGCGGGGCTCGGGGACCACTCCGGGGGGGGGCGGGGCCAAAAGCTGGGGTGGGGGCCGAGACAGGATGGGAGGAGGAGCGGGCCTGGGCCGGGGGCCGCAGGAGACACTTAGGGGCACAGGGCTGAGAGCAGGGCGCAGGGAAGTGGGCAGGGGTATGGAAGCGGGATTGGGGGAGCCAGGTCTCAGATTGGGGGTGGGGAGCCTGGAGCTGGCGGGGTTGGAAAGAGAGTTCTCAGGCTGGTAGGGGCTGAGTGGGGGCTTCCGGGCCGCGGGACAGGGCGCGCGCGGTGCGCGGCGGGGCGGAGGCCGGACGGGTGGGGCGCGCGGTGCCCGCGGGCGGGCGGGCGGCGGGGAGGCCGGTGCGGGGCCCGCCGCCCCCCCGGGGCCGGGCCGGGCCGGGGGCGGGGCCGGGCGGGGCCAGCGGCGCATTAGCGCCTTGTCAATTCGGCTGCTCAGACTTGCTCCGGCCTCCGCGCCCGCGCCCAGCGACGTGCGGGCTGCCCGGCCCGCGCCCTCCCGCGCCGGCCTCGAGCCCCGCGCCTGGAGCCGCCGCAGCCGCCGCCCGCCGCCTCCTGCCGCGCGCCCCCGGCAGCGCCGGCCCCATGCCCGCCGGCCGCCCGGGCCCCGCCGCCCAATCCGCGCGGCGGCCGCCGCCGCCGCTGCCCCTACTGCTACTCTGCGTCCTCGGGGCGCCGAGAGCCGAATCAGGAGCCCGTGAGTACCCGGCGCCCTGTTCCCTTCTTCCCGCCTGGGCCGAGAGCGTGCGCCCCGGGGGCAGCTGCGGGGGGAGGGGGCGCGGGCGCCACCTGGACGGCCCGGGAACAAAGGAAGGCGCCCCCAGCGCGGCCCTCGGGGCGCCCTCACCTGCAGGGCGCACGGCGCGGTAGTCCCCCGGCCCGAGGGTCCGGCTTCCGCGCCCTAGGCCTTCTTACCTGGGCCGGCCGGCCGGGGACACCCGGCCCTTCCCCGAGGGTCGAGGGGCCGGCGGCCTGGGACTCTCTGAACTCCGGGACGCGGCGGGTGCACGCAACAGCGCCCGCGGACTCGCAGCCATAGAGATCGAGGGGCACCGCTCCCGGGCAGGGGCGCACGCGGTAGGCGCGTTGGGTGCTGGTCCTGGGCGGCCCCCCCACCAGTGGAGGGATGAGCCCCGCGACGAAGGCGGGGCGCCGGGAGGGGGGCCGCTCTGGCCGCCTGGCGCGCGGCCCGGGGTCCCCGGGGACGCGCCTCTCCGCGGGCCGGCGCCGCCGCCCTCCCTTGGCGGAACCACGAGCGCGGGGGTCCGCGGAGTCCTAGCCACTGGCGGGCTCGGAACCATTCCTGGCCAGGCTGCAGGGGCTGAGAACCTCCAGCGACAGAAACCTTTGTGAGCGAGTGGGTGAGAGGGAGAGGGAGCAGGAGCCAGCGAGTCCGGGCACCGCGGGCCCAGCCTTGGTGGTTGGGGGGGGGGGGGAGGCTAACCGGGAACCCACGGCCCCGCAGGCCGAGACCCCTGCCCTGTCAGGAGCTCCTGGGCTGAGGCTCTCTCTGTCGCCCCACCCGAAGCACACCCCTTCCAGGACACCGTCTCTACATCCAGACCCTCTCTGGGACACACCCAGAGACACACAAAGACACACTGGCTTGTGGCCCGTCACCCTCACCCTCAGATGAGCGCACACTGCATCCCAGATGCACATTCGCACACCATCGGGGCACGCGCACACACATTCCATCCCTGACACACACACATTCGTGGTCACATACATTCCGCAGGGGGAGGCAACACAGGGGTACACATGCAGGCATTGCCTGCCCTAGACGTTCACAATCGCTCTACGCAACCCCATCCAGGCGCGCAGGTCGATGCGGGCCAGCACACATTGCTCCCCAGGCCATCCCATACTGCACAGAGATGTTTGCAAGTTTCCTGTGGTTCTCCTCCAGAAAGGACAGGGTCCGGGCACCCCCTGGGGGCACTTGCTGAAAGCCCAGCATGCCCAAGGCGCCTGGGCAGGTGGGGGACTGCCCCAGGCCCTCCTGGGGTCCCTGGCAGCTCTGCTAGGCAGTGAGCAGTGCCTGTAAAGGCCACTAAGAGTGGCTGGCTTTGTTTCCCAGCCCATAGAGCATCAGGCAAAGGTGGCGGTGGTTGGGGGGGATTGTTGTACGTGTGTTTTTTCCTTTAAGGGGGAAGAAATTAAATAAAAGATTCTCACACCTCAGCAATATGTTTCTACTTACGGTGTGTCTTAGCACCTGACCAGCAGACCGGTGGGTCGTAAAGTGTCTGCAGGTACCAGCGGGACAGGAGATGGGGACCCCTGTCGGGACCCCGGGATAGAGGCCACCCTCCTGCCTTGCTTGCAGAGAATCTCACACTTTTCCCTTTTAAAACACATGGTGTTCCTTTTTAATAACGGCAGTGGCTCCAGATTGGGAAGGGAGAAAGAAAAAACTTTTAAAGGCCCCAGCTCTGTGTGAAAGGCAGGGAGGCAGGGAGCAAGGGGGGTGGGGGTGGCTGTCCAAAAGCTTAGCTCAGGGATCTGCTTTGGGGAGCCTCCTAGGAGGCCCCCCAAACCAGGCAAGGGCCCCCACAACTTTAGTGGGCTGTTCCCAGCTGCTTCGACTGGCTTGGAATGTATGCATCCAGGTCCCTAGCGCCTCGGCCCATTGTTTGGGGAGGCCTAAAGGGAGTTGGGAGCCAGCTGGGACCCCAGAGCTGGGAGGGGCTGTAATCTTAATAGTTCCTAGGTGCTGCAGTGTGCTGGGCCCTCTGGACATCATGATCTCATCTCATTCATCTCCCCAACAGGTAGAACTTATTTTCCTCCCATTTTATGGAGGAGGAAACTGAGATCGGCAGAGGGGAAACCAGTTGCTCAGGTGCTCCAGCTGGGATTGGCACTCATGTCCCAGGAGAAATCCTCCCTCTGACCTTTTCTGGTGGAACTTGGTGGGGGGTGGGAGGGGGGGAATTGGCCTGTCCAGGCCTGCCTGGCCTTGCCCTCTCGCCCTGTCCCCCGCCCAGCCCCAGGAGGGCAGCTGCAGCTGCTGGCAGGCAGTCCACGCCAGCCCAGGCCAGGCGGGTGTGGCAGAGGGGCAGTGCCCCCCGGCCAAGACCCCCCAGAGAGCCCCTTCCTGGCTAGACCACGCTGGTGGGGGGGGGGGCAGGAGGGGGCGGGACCTACCCCCAAAGGGTTGAGAGTGGGTCTGGGGTCTAGGCAGGCCTGGCCTTGCCTTCCCACCCTGCTGGGGGGGCCCAGGCAGGAAGCGGTGGGTGGGCCGGGGCAGAGACGCTGGCACGCCCGAGTTCATGCCGAAGGAATTCCGAATTAGCGGGCGGCTGGCTGCCTGGGACCTCCGGGGCGGCCCCCTGGCCCCCGCCCCCGGCCGCCCCCGCCTCCTCAGCTCTGGCCCGCTCAGCCGGCTCCTTCGCACGGACGCTGAGACCTCCAGCGAGCCCTGGGCCAAGCCCCAAACGCAACTGTGATCCCAGGCTCCAGCAAGAAATGGCCCTCAAGCCAAGTTTGCCCCGGAAAATTGTCAGAGCCGGCAGGGAGAACCGTGTGCACCCCACCTTGCCCATCTGGGGCAGTGAGGGCCCGCACAGGGCAGCCACAGGCATTCAGAGTGTCTCCCAAGGGGCCAGGATCACCGGGTCCTTGGCTGCCATCTCAGGGAAACTGGGTTACCTCCTCCCTCCCTTGCTGCCCCTTTACCCCCCCTCCTGCAGTCCCTTTTTACAGCTGCCTGGGGATCCTTTTAAAATGTAAATTCTCCCCCGTGCTGAACTCTGGAATAGCCCCTCCCAGCAGGTCTGGCACTGCTGACCTCCCAGACCTCATTCCCCACCACTCCTGCCTCAGGACCTTTGCACTTGCTGCTCCCACTGTCTGGTCACTCTCTCCTAGACATTTTCGTGGTTACTTCTTTCACTTTATTCAGGTCTCAGCTCAAATGCCTCCCCAGATAGGTAGGCCTCCTGGGCCATTGAGCTGCCACCGCTACCATGTGCTTCACTTCTCCCTTATTTATTCTTAGATATTTGTTCTTTTTCCTCTTGCTCCATTGGATTCAAGGCCCACAAGGGGGAAGAATTTTGAGTACCTTGGTCACCATTGTGTGCCCAGCTCCTGGCAAACTGTGGGTGCTCCATGATGCACGAATTAATGAATGAACAAATGAATGAATGAGTCCTCGCAACTGCTTGTGGTGCAGGGAGAGGCCCCTTCCCACATGCTCAAAGAAATAAAGTGAATGGACAAGTTTGCTGGGGGCATTTGAACCCAGGTCAGCCTGGCTTAAAAGTCCCATAGGGTTGTCCTTAAAGACAGTATTTTCACTCCTCTCAAGCATGTGATTGATACCATGGTGCCCACTTCCCAGATGGGGAGACTGAGGCTCAGTGAGGGGTATCAGGGTCTCAGACTGTGCAACCCCTGTCCCTTATCTGGACCTTGACTTCTTGGATAAAAAACAGATTCCTCTTAGGTTCTAACCTCCAGAAGGGGAAGCCCTCGGCATCCCTGAGACCCTCATGCCCAGCTCAGTTCACACACAATCCTGTTTAGGAAGTTCACTTTCCATCTTATCTTCACAGTGGCCCTAGGGATCATGAGCTTTCTTGTTCCCATTTTGCAGATTAGGAAAAATGAATTGAAGGAAAGAACAATGATACCAAGTCCCTCAAATGGGGGTTGGGTACCAAGAGTTTGCCCCTTCAGTCCCAGCAACAGCACAGAGCAGAACTCCGAAGACTGACAAAATCTCACTTTAAATTAGGTGCCCTTTTCTCATCCGGTGACTTTGGGCAAGAGGTGATTTCTCAGAGCCTCAGGTTTTTCATTCATAAAAGAAGCAGGATTCTAGTAAGAGTCAGGGCACCCCTTTTAGGAAGCATCTCCTCCACCAGGACCCACTTACAATGTGTGAGGCTCTAGCGTTGTCAATCTTGTATTTCTAATTAGCAAAAATAAAATGAAATTTAAAAAGAAAAAAAACCCAGAATGTAATAGTGGTTGGAACTATATGCAAAACAAGATTTGCTTGAATCTGAGTGGGCATTTATGTCTGAGTTTTGTGCCCACCCCTAGAGCCCTAGCAAGTCCTTGAACGAGCAGCTTGAAAGACCTAAGTTGTGGAATCGCAGTCCTGGGGCTGAATCTTGGTTTTGCCAACCAACCTTGAGCTGGTCACTTGGCCAAAGTGAACCTCAATTTCCTTATCTGTAGAATGGGAGACAATAAAAAACAGCTCCTTTGGACGACTGCCAGGAGACCTGGAGGTCCTGGCCTGGTGCGGAGGAGGCGGGGCTCAGGGCCACTCCATCTCAGGCCTGACAGGCACTCCTCTCTGACCCCAGACACAGCTGTCATCAGCCCCCAGGACCCCACGCTCCTCATCGGCTCCTCCCTGCAGGCCACGTGCTCAGTGCATGGGGACCCGCCAGGCACCACGGCTGAGGGCCTCTACTGGACCCTCAATGGGCGCCGCCTAGCCCCTGAGCTTTCCCGCGTGCTCAATGCGTCCACCCTGGCCCTTGCCCTGGCTAACCTCAACGGATCCAGGCAGCAGTCAGGCGACAACCTGGTGTGCCACGCTCGTGACGGCAGCATCCTCGCTGGCTCCTGCCTCTATGTTGGCTGTAAGTGGGCCCCCAGGATAAGCGGGGTAACTCTTGGGAGCAGCATCTCCCTCTGGAGAGGGGAATGAATCATGGGCCCTCTGGCCCAGGACTGAACAGTGGGCGTGCTGGCACAGGTTGAGAGGTAGGGACCGCTGGGGTGGAACTGAGAGCCTGGAGCTGCCACCCCATCCCCAAGAGATTCCAGGCAGGCTGTCATGCCAACATCCGCTCTGTTCACCCTCCTTCCACTCGAAGGTGGGGGCTTAGCTGGTGGCTAGCAACTTCTCCATCTGCCCAGGGCTGATCCAGACCCTCAGCCCCCTGCACCCCCCCTTCCCCAGTGCCCCCAGAGAAACCTTTCAACATCAGTTGCTGGTCCAAGAACATGAAGGACCTGACATGCCGCTGGACGCCGGGGGCCCATGGGGAAACCTTCCTCCACACCAACTACTCCCTCAAGTACAAGCTGAGGTTGGTGGTGGCCCTTGGGTGACGTGTGTGCCAGCCTGGCTGTGAGGCCTTGGCAAAGCCCACCCTCTCTGAGCCTGGTGTCCTGTCTGCGCTTTGGGGATGCCATGGGGAGGTCTGGGAGCCTGAAGGGACCTTCGTGTGTCCTTACACCCCCTCCTGCCCTGCAGGTGGTACGGGCAGGACAACACATGCGAGGAGTACCACACTGTAGGACCTCATTCCTGCCACATCCCCAAGGACCTGGCTCTCTTTACACCCTATGAGATCTGGGTGGAGGCCACCAACCGGCTGGGCTCGGCCCGCTCTGATGTGCTCACGCTGGACATCCTGGATGTGGGTGAGCGCCCCCACCAGCTACTAGGCCCACGAGGGATCCTGCGCCCCCTCTCTTAGCTCAGCTCCCGGCTGCAGCTCCAGCTCGTTGGGGCTGGGAGGAACTAGGCATCCACCCATAGGTCCCCAGTCCCCTAAAGCAGCCAGGATACCCCCACTCTGTGGAGAACACCTGGCCTGGCTGCCTCCCCCTCAGCAGCCCAGGTGTGCAGGAGGGGGCCCCGGGGGAGCTGGGAGGGGGCGCCCAGGTCGGGAGGCGCCCCAGGAAGCCTCAGCCTGGAGATGGGGGGGGTGCGCAGGCGGGAGGCAGGAAACGGATGATCTGCGAGCAGAATTGGGCCTAATCTAATTAGGGTGTTTCTCAGCCCCAAGCAGGCCTGTGCCTTAACCCTTTCAGACCCTTACTAAGGCCTCAGGGGGAGAAGCCAGACCTCCATGCTGCCCATGGGCTCCCAGAAGGATCCCCCAGAAGGCCTGTAGCCACTCCCCACCCCAGTCTGCTTCCTGCTCTGCTTCCTCGAGTGCTGAAGCTGCAGTGGGCTGGTTCTGAGCCTCAGTTTTCCTTCTGCACCACCAAGGCTGTCATATTGAAAACCTTTGTAAAGTAGGAAAGAACTGGAGGTGCAGGTGGGCAGGGGGGGGTCAGGAGGAGCTTCCCAGGGGTCTGGCAGCCTGCTGGCCCCCTGGCCTCCTGGGCATAATAATAACAATGTCATCAACCAGGCCCTGTCTGCTTTTACATAGCTCCCTGAAGATAGGATTATGTTTCTCCTGTCACAGATAATAATGGTGATAACAGCTAACGTTAATTGAATGCTTCTAGGTGCTGAGTGTTTCCCAAATATTATCTAATGTAATCCACCCGTCCTGAAGGGGGAAGTGGGAAGAGGGCAGAACCGAGGCAGGTGCCCCCTAAGCCATGTGCTCTGAGATTTTAACCAAGCCCCTTCACCTCCCACCTGGGTCCAAGGACAGCTGAGTGATTAAGCCCTGCCCTGCCCCATCCATTCCCCCCCCGCCCCCCCCCCCCCGTCTCTCAGTGACCACCGACCCCCCACCTGATGTGCATGTGAGCCGCGTCGGGGGCCTGGAGGACCAGCTAAGTGTGCGCTGGGTTTCCCCACCGGCCCTCAAGGACTTCCTCTTCCAAGCCAAGTACCAAATCCGCTACCGAGTGGAGGACAGCGTGGATTGGAAGGTGCCTGACACCCCCACCCCCTACCCCATCCCACCCCGAGCCTCCCCCCCGCCCCCCGCCCCCTGCCCCTGCCCTGCCTCTGACTCTGCCATTGCCACCAGGTGGTGGACGATGTAAGCAACCAGACCTCCTGCCGTCTGGCCGGCCTGAAGCCCGGCACAGTCTACTTCGTGCAAGTGCGTTGCAATCCCTTTGGCATCTACGGCTCCAAGAAGGCAGGGATCTGGAGCGAGTGGAGCCACCCCACGGCTGCCTCCACCCCTCGCAGTGGTGAGCACCCCAACAGGCCTGGGTGGTCAGGACACCAGTCCCAAAGCAGCCAAAGCCTTCATTTCTTTGTTTCCTCCAAGAGAGCAGAGGTGTCAAACTGGTGGCCCTTAGGGGCCAAATGTGGCCCTTGGATCCATTTTCTTTGACCTGTCATTTGAAAAAAAAAAAAGTCTGACCTTGCAGACATTTAAAAACAGGAAGTCTTCACACAACTATCCTAGGTTTCCTAGAAAAATTGATCGTCTAGGAAATGTTGGGGCACCTGGCTGGCTCAGTCAGAAGAGCGTGCAACTCTTGATCTCCGAGTTGTGAGTTGGGTGTAGAGTCCTTACACCTCTACGTTGGGTGTAGAGTCCTTAAACATAGAATCTTCAAACAAGGAACTTTAACAGGACACAGTCCCCACCAGCCCCCATTACTCACCACTCTCACTCCTGAGTTGCCCCATCACCACCTAGCCCATTTTGGCCTCCTGTAACCGCTCCTTAGCCCCTAAAGCAAGTGAGTTTGAGACCTCTGCTCTGCTTCTGAGGCTGATCGGCTGCCAACGTTTCTTAGGATGGGCCTTGAGTTCCCCTTCTGATCAAGGTAGGGGGAGGGGACCATCAGGAGCCTGGGTCTGACTTCCCTTGCCAGCTGGGGTTTCTCTAAGCCCATGATCCTCCATCCTCTCCATTATGAGATGGCATGAAATATGTTAAACATCTGACCTCAGCTTTTCCATCTGGAAAGTGGGTACAATAATCATACCCACCTCGGGCTGTTATTAGGGTTCAATGAGATAGCCCAAGAAAGTGCATTCACGGTGGGTGCCCTCTAAGTGTTTGCAGGTGGTTACTAAGGCTCCTATCTCCTGCTCCCCCATGGCTTCACCTCAAAGGAACCTCCTTTTCTCAGGTGAAGACACAGGCCCTAGGATGTTCAGCCGCCCACTAAGGTCACACAGGGATTCGAATTCAGTTTCTTTGAAGTCCGGGCCCATGCTCCTGGGATGATGGGGAAACTGAGGCGCAGAAGGGGTCTCAAAGCCAGACAAGGGCAGAGCCAGGCTCCAGCCAGTTCCCCAGCCCCCATCCTGGGCCCCTCCAGGTTCTGGAGGTGGGCGGGATCTAGCACCGCGGGAGGGGCCTGCGCCTTGGCCCCTGCTCGTGCCCAGCACCTGCGATTCTTGCACGGGAGCCAGCAGGCGGCTGCGTCCGCTGGAGAGGCTGGGGAGGCCGGGGGAGGCCAGCAGGGGCGGTGGGGGCCGTGGCCGTGCCAGGGCCTGTCAGCGGGTTCCCGGCGTTATTTATGACGTGAGGCCGATGTCCTTATCTGCCGGCCTGCTAGGGGCTGGCTGCGGCCGACAGCTGGACCGACAGGCCGGCCTCCCACCTGGCCCTCCCAGCCCACTCCCCATCCCACTGGCTCCCGCTCTCAGGCTAGGCCCCCGCCCCCCGGGGGGGGTCTCCTCTGTCTCCCTTCATCCCTCTGTCACTCTCTTCCCTTTTATCTGTGTTTTTGCCTTTTTTGGTTTCTATGTCCCTCCATACCCATGGCCTCTGCCTCTGCCGGCTTCAGCCCTCTCTTGATCGCGCCCTTTCCTGTCCCTCTGCATTTCCTTGGCCGTCCCCCATTTCTTTGGCCCTCCCCATGTCTCCCCCTCTCCTTGTCTCCATCTTTCCATCTCTCTCTGTCTCTCCGACTCTCTCTCACTAGTGGCGCGCTCTCTCTTTCCCCGTCCCTTGCTCTGTGTCTGGGTCGCATCCCTCTGGCCCTGGCTCCTGTCCTTCTTCCCCTCCCTTTCGCTCACACCTGGCTCAGGCCGCGGGAATCAGGTTCCTGGAGGAGCCATGGGGGAGGAGCCCCCTCCTTCCCCGCCTCCCACCTCTTCAGGGGCTCAGCTGGGCCGCTGGGCCGGGCGGTGGAGAGGACCCGATCCCAGAGACGCGGGGAGGGAGGTGCCCCCGGGAACAGAGTCCCGCGGAGCGGCGGAGCCTCCCTCTCCTGCCCTCGCGCGCCCTCTGCCGGGTGCGCCGTGACACCGCCGCTCCCCCCCACCAGAGCGCCCGGGCCCGGGCGGCGGGGCGTGCGAGCCGCGGGGCGGCGAGCCGAGCTCGGGGCCGGTGCGGCGCGAGCTCAAGCAGTTCCTGGGCTGGCTCAAGAAGCACGCGTACTGCTCGAACCTGAGCTTCCGCCTCTACGACCAGTGGCGAGCCTGGATGCAGAAGACCCACAAAACCCGCAACCAGGTAGGAAGGAGGGACCCACGGGGCGAGGGATGGAGTGGTAGCGGCAGGGAGGGAGTCGGACTGGGGCGGGGGCAGGACCGCAGCCCCCAGACACCGCCTCCTTCCTTCCAAGCACAGGACGAGGGGATCCTGCCCTCGGGCAGACGGGGCACGACGAGAGGTAAGGGGAGCCCACCCCAGCTTGGTGGGTGGGCAGGGAGGGAGACAAGGGCCCCTCCTGGTGGCCACGGGCCGAGGGCGCCCCACCCTCAGCCTTAGAGTTGCTGAGATGGAATCCCGTTCTCCATCTCTTATTTATCAGCATTTACCTAACACCCAGTGATTGCCTGGTCCCTCGGACTTTAGTCTAGTAAAACCATCTGACCCCCCATGATGTCCAAAGTGGAATGTCATCCTCAGGAATGAACACACCCCAGTTAGCATGTATGAGCACTTATTGCATGCTCACCCTATGCCACAGGACGCCCCATGGGACAAACAGATATTCTTATTTCTCAAATGGGGAAACCAAGGCCCTGAGAGGGGCAGTACCGAAGGTCACCAAGCTGAAAGTGGCAGAGCCAGCACCTGAACTGGGGCTTCCTCAATTGCTCTGTGGTACTGGCCCCTCCCAGGCTCCCTGCTTAGGTTGGCTTCCCCTCTACCTGCAGGTCCTGCCAGATAAGCTCTAGGGACTGGGGCCACCCTCCCTGCTGCGTGGAGACCTGGGGGCCGCACCCAGACTGGGGGCTAACTCTGTACCCTCACCTCAGGGCACCCAAGCACCCTTGGCTTGGAGGAGCTGGGGTGGGTATTCTGAGGGAAACAACATCTCTGGCCTCCATGTGAGGCCATCCTTGGGTGCAACTCCAGTGGGGGTGTGTGTGAGAGTTGGCTAAGCTGCCCAGAACCCCTGCCAGGGCTGCGGGTGAAGAAGGGTCATTACTCCCCCCCCCCCATCCAGGACCCCTACAGAGTCTTTTTAAATAAACAAGCTATTTAGGTGCCCTGATTGTGAAGATGTTTGGGGCTGGATTGGCCCAGGGTAGGGGCTGTAGAGTTTAAGGGTTTAATGACCCTATGGGATTGGAACCTTTGCATCCCAGAATTTCAGACTCTCCAGAATGTGAAATATCTGGTTTTAAACTCACTGGAGGTTGTGATTCAAAACACCAGTTCTACCATCAGGGAGCAGGGGGTCTTGCACCTACCATCCCTGGTGTTGTGGGGCCTCCTTCCCAGGGACACCCAATCCCAGCACCCTAGGACAGAGACAGTGGAGCAGCTGCAAATGAAGGGTCCTTTATTGTTGGAGTCACAGCAAATTCAAGGGCGGTCAGCAACCTGGTGGAGCGTGACCCCAGCCATCTGACGATCCAGGGGTGGGCTGGGTGCCATTCACCCCATTTCCCATATCCCATGGCATGTCTCTGGGAAGCCACCATCACTCGGCAGATTCTGCATCAAACCTAAGGTCCTGAAGAACCTCGCTGATCGCTTCCATGGTTTTAATTACCCTACAAGAGTGGATGGGAACTATAAATAAAACCCAGATGGGGCGAATTAGCCACCACTGCGCAGCTCCTAGGGGGCTGCGGCAAGCCCCAGGTCCTCCTGCCTGCGGCCAAAGTTCCAGGCAGCATCAGTGGCCAAAAGGACAGTTTGGATGCCTGGGAGGAGGGGTGGTCTGTGGATGAGAGTGGGCAGAGAGAAAAAGGCATCTTGGGTGGGTGCCATCCGAAGGTTGTGCTGTTACATAGCAGATACTGAATGGGAGTGCAATCCTGTGTGCCGGGGGGGAGGGGGTGGTGCTGGAGGAAGGAACATGCAGGCCTGTGTCTGGTGGACCTGGGCAACCATGTCCCAGCTCTAAGTCAGTAGGATTGGCATGTGTGAAGGTGCCCAACTGTGTCCTAGAAATGCACAGGGAGTCTGGTGTGAAATTGCAGGGTGTGCACTGGGGTAATGTGTGCCCTATGTCTGGGAGCCACCAGGTAAGGACTCCAGTGTGCATACCCTAAGGATTGTGTGCACATTCAGAGGGTCAACCCCGGATGACCGAACCAACCCCGGGGCACTCCTGGCTGGGGATGGGTGCCTGGAGGTGTTGCCGCGCAAATCTAACACCACCAGCCCACTGGGAGGGAGTGCTCACTTCATCTTCAGCTGGTGCATCTCCAGGGTGTTCTCCTGCTCAGTCAGCTCTGGTGCCCCCATCAGCTGCAGCAGGGCCACCTGGTATGGGTAAGAGGGAAGATGTCACAGCTGGCAGAGTCCCTCCCCTGCCCTCCCACGCAGATTGGGGAGGGAGACACTGAAGCACCCAGAAAGGCAGCCAGGACTGGGAATCTCAAGGGGCGGTGCTTTGCACGGTAGGGGCTCCGGAGGACGACTGAGTGGGCGGGGCCTAGAGTTAGTGGGCGGTGCAACGTGGGTGTGGCCACATGAAGGCGGGGTATGGGAAGGGCGGAGAAGGCTCAGCCAGGAATTGGTGACTGGAGTGGAGCAGGCCTGGGCCTCATAGTCTCAAGGATGCGGCAGGGCGTTGTTATAATCCCAGGGTGGAAGTCGGCCAAACACCTAGACTGGGATTGGGGTCTCCTAAAGCACCGTGGCCCGGAAATCCCAGTTTAGAGTGCGATGTGGGCGGGGCTTCGCGTGGGCTTGGTCTGGGAATAGCGTGTCTCGTTCTGCATTGGCTGTCGGGCCAGAGTAGGCGGGGCCTTGGAACCCCAGGGGAGGAGTGGGCCCAGAACCTAGGCTGGGATATAGGGTTACTCAGGAGGGGGGGGATACCGTGGAAATTCACACTCTCCAATCTGCAGGGGGCTGGAGGCCCCGGCGAGAGGCAATGGGAGGAGCCAAAGGGGTAGGAGCGTAGTGGGGGCGGACTCTGGGCATCTGGGCAGAGGGCTGGGGCTGCAGGAGGGGCTGACGTGAACTCGGTGTATCCTGGGACTAAACAAAACCTGAATGACCTGGAGATGGACAGGAGAGGTCAGGGCACGAGAATCCAAAGTGAAACCTTAGCGGAGTTTTGAGGTGGGGCAGGAGGAAGTGGTGTCTGGGGCGCCGGAGGGCTGGATTCTGGCCCCTGCCCCATGAGGCACACAGTGGGCCCCGACAGATCAGGCACTGTGTAGGGTTACAGGGGCTGGGGTGAGGCCTCACCGTGGCCAGGCGCGTCTGCTCCAGCTGTTGCAGGCTGCGCACGTGGCTCGCAAGCAGCGGCTGTCCTCTGGGCCCGGCCAGCTCGGCCTCCACCGCCAGCACCTCCCGCGAGGCGGCGGCGAACGCCTGGGTCACCTCGTGCACCGTGCTCCGGTAGCGCGGGAAGTCGTGGGGCGGGCCGCTTCGCAGGTACTGGAGGTGGCCTCTGCGGCAGGTGGGGGTCCTGAGGCTACGCCCCCCAGGCTCTCAAGCCCTGCACCCGCACTGACCACCTAAAGGCCCCCAGAAAGTGTCCCTGGACCCCAGAGTTTGGAGGACGCTCTCTGACTCCCGCAGGGTAACCGGAGATGGGCCCACTCCTGCCCTTGGGGAAGGGAGAGACGCCACGCGGAATGGCCCATCCGGCAGTGGGGCCGCGCCCTGGGTCCCAGAGGGGGAAAGCAAGGATCTGGTCCCCCAGCGAATCCTGCCCCACCTCTGACAACGCAGCCGCACGCAGCCGGGACCCAGCTCCGACCCCAGGCGTGCCCATACCCGGAGTCCGCAGGGGGCTGAACTCTGCGACCCCCGCCCACCCCTACGCCCGCACTTACTCCTCCAGCCGGCGGAAGGCCTGTGCGCGCTCAGCCTGCAACTGGTGGATGCGCTGCACCAGCGCCCGGATCGGGGCATCTTTCTACGGAGCGGGGGGCATGGCTGGGGCATGAAGCCGGAGCCCCCAAGCCTGCACCGCCCACCCCGCACCTGTTCCTGCTGGAGCCCGGGCTCACCCAGGGCCACGCCGGCTCCTCGCGCTCCGGGACACTGGCAGCTCCGGCAGTAACGGGTACCGAGGGAACAGCGGAGTCCTCCACGGCCTTGGAAGTGATCATGACTGAGCAGCCCCGGCCTCGCCCAGGACTAAGGTGTTCCACTGCGCCAGGCGCCCCCTGCAGGCCCGGAGGTCCCCCCACCCCAACCTGTGGTCCCCAAAAGGGAAACCTGAAGATCTCGAAAAATAAGGAGCGAAGACAGTGAAGTCTTAGCCCTGACATGCTCCACCCATTCCCCTGCTTGTTCCCGTTGAAGGCTTTTTTTTTTTTTTAATCGTGCCTGTCCTTGAATATAAGGCTCTGTATACAACAGGGCTGTCCCTAAATTTGTATACATTTATCCCAACATCAACTTCATTTCAACCCCACATCCTGTCCCCACCCAAATAAAACAGGGACCTCGTGTGGCCCAGTGATTGTCTGCCTTTGGCTCAGGTCGTGATCCCTGGGTCCTAGGAGTCCTACATTGGGTTCCCCATGAGGAACCTGCTTTTCCCTCCGCTTATGTCTTTGCCTGTCTCTCATGAATAAATAGCCTCTTTAAAAAAAGAAAACCTGAGAGGTAATATTTTGTCATCTAAGGTAACAGCTATGACAGGAATTGAACAGAGGTTCCAATACTGGAGAGCCCAAAAGGCAGGAATCCAACGGACTATTTAACAAATATGGCAGGTACTGTGTGCTCTCCTCAGAAATGACCTGAAAAGGACCTGTGGAAAGGCCAAGAATCTAGGGTAGGGACAAGGCCAACGGGGTCATTTTAAGTGCAAAGCAGGCCTCGGGCTTTCTGCTGGGGATAGACTAGGTAGTTTGAGCTTTGAGAAGCTTTTCTCCAGGAATAAATGTGGAAAAGACCAGAAAGATGTTGGTGGAGCATGGAACTGTCAACAGGGAGGCGACTCGTGGAAAAACTGAGACCAGGCTTTAGCAGGCACTCCAAGTCTCAGTGGTACTACAGTATTGTTGTCCAGGCCTGGGTTATCATAACACCAAGTCCAAATCACCTTGAGACAAATAAAAGCCTTACCCAGGGCTAGTCCAGGGCATGACAAAGCTCACAATTGTCAGGTGCATCAGCTCTAGTTTTATGAACACCAAGGTCCACCCCTCCAAGGCTGATGTCCTAGGTCTTGGGTGGGGCCCAGGAGATCTTCCTGGTCAGCCAAGAACAGAGGTTTTACCCCAGCTGGAATGTTTGTCTGCCCACCCAGTCCTCCACGGCACAGGAATGGAAGTCATGGAGGGCCCAGCCAGTGACATGGCTGATCTGCAGTCTCATAGGAGCCTGGGCTGGGGGTTCTTTATTCCCATTTATAGATGGCTATGTGGCAGAGGGCTGGGACCATAGCATTTTATAGATGAGACAACCAGAGCCCAAAGGACACAGGACTCTTGAGGGCTAAACAAAATCAAGTAACAGGGAGTTCCCAAGGGAGACACCCACAATGCAACCAGCTCCTCGTTGGACAGACCAGCCACACAGACACCAGTTACTGCTCCAGTCAATGAAAGGGAAACTTTATTGAGGCCCCAGGACCTATTGAGGCTCGGGCAGGAGGCCACCCTGCGGGCAAAGGAAGAGCCGGTGGAGGGGCCTTATTTGACCTTCTTTTTGGGACGCAGGTTGTTGGTGTGGCCGCACTTCTTCTTGCGGCAGTTGACAGCACGGGGGTGCAGGCGAGCATAACACCTTTACAAAGACGAAAGAGACAGGTGAGGGCAAACCCCAACCCCAAGCCCTCCCACCAGGGCCAGCCACCCACCCCTATCTGAGAGTACACACTTGCGGCAGATCATCTTGTCACAGTTGTATTTCTGGGCCAGCTGGCGGAGTGAAGGCTCGATGATGCCACCTCGCAGGCGAAGCACCAAGTGCAAGGTGGACTCTATAGGAGGGTCAAAGAGAGACAGTGACTGAACCTGGCCCCAGCGCCTCAGGAACAGAGCAGGATCCTCCAGACCAGAGCTTCTCAAATGTGATGGGGTATTCTACACATAGATGGACACAACAGCCCAGACCACATCACAGAACCTTCATCTCACTTCCTACTAGCCCTTGGAAAGTCTGAAGCTAATATATGTCAAACATAGTGTGCACAGGGGTTTCCTGACAAGGCAATTTCTAAAGTATGCAAACTTGATCTATTACTTTGCTGAGCAAAATAAATTTAGTTGCTGCAAAAAGTGACATCAAGGAGTGTCTGACTGGCTTAGTCAGTAGAGCATGTGATTATTGCTAACAATAAAATCTTTTTTAGGGGATCCCTGGGTGGCGCAGCGGTTTGGCGCCTGCCTTTGGCCCAGGGCGCGATTCTGGAGACCCGGGATCGAATCCCACGTCGGGCTCACGGTGCATGGAGCCTGCTTCTCCCTCTGCCTGTGTCTCTGCCTCTCTCTCTCTCATGCATAAATAAAAAAAATCTTAAAAAAAAAAAAAAAGAACTGAGCCAGCCAGATGTCCTGTTTTATCACACTTTTGAACAACAAAAAAAGGTCAACAAGAGATGAGAAACCACTGCCACTTGGAAACCTAGAGACCATTAGATGCTTCCCCCCAACAAAAACTTCACACAAGCAAAATTCATTGGCCCCATCTGACCCTCACCTTAAGACAGCCCACCCCACCCCTCATTTGCAGTGAGGCCATCAAAACTTCGTCCTTGGTCCTAGGACTCAAGGGGTCCTGTCCAACCACCCTACCCCCAGTACCTTTCTGGATATTGTAGTCTGACAGAGTTCGGCCATCTTCTAGCTGTTTGCCCGCAAAAATCAGACGCTGCTGGTCAGGTGGGATGCCTGGGAAGAAGAAAGCTCTGTTATGGAGGCTCTGGTGAGTATATTACTGGCAGTTTCCCCTCTCCCCGCAGGGGTGCTCTGGCATTACCTCCAATCTGTCAAAAGGGGAGCTAAGATAAAGAGAACAAGTTCTCTTGTTCCGGAAATCACACAGGGGAAGTACTTGCCAAGGCTGAGGTCTATACAAGTTCAGTACCCATCCTGCACATGACAGTGGCTCCTCTGAGCTGGAGAGGACAGAGCCTCTGGACTCAGCCTAACTCACCCTCCTTGTCTTGGATTTTGGCTTTGACATTTTCAATGGTGTCACTTGGCTCGACCTCAAGAGTGATAGTTTTGCCCGTCAGGGTCTTCACAAAGATCTGCATCTCTGCGTCTGTTGGAAGGTAGGAAGTAGAATGGAGGTGTGAGAAATGCAGGTGCAAGCAGTTTGAGCTCAGGGGCTGGCAAGCCTTGACCCTGCCAGCCCTGTGCCAGCATCAACCACAATTACAGGCGCACCCCAGTGCCCGTTTCCTTCCACCTCTCTAAGCCTGCAGCCCAAACCTGTCTTATAAACAAGATCATGCTTCCTTTACCTTACCCCTGGACCATTATGGCAAAGGGTGTTTCATGGGAACAAGGACTGTGGTTATGCTCCTTGGATCCAGCAAATGAGACTGTCAACTTTGATGATGGAATGAAAAGTACATGGCTGGTGCACTATCTTGCCAGACAAAATTTTCAAGTGTGGTCTGGAGATCCCAGCCTCCCTCCCCTTCTGTAAGCCACATTTGCTCCACAAGCAGCCCTTCCTGCTACCTGAGTGGAAATCCCATTTCAGCAGCCACTCCTCCAACACACTTTCCTCCCTTGCAGTTCTCTCCAACTCCAAGCTCAGACACCCAACACCCTGGCTTCTCTCCCAATTTATACCCAAACTCGCCAGACCATGCTTCCTGCCTTTGCCCCAATCCATAAACGGTATCTGCCAACCACGTGCCTGGTACTTGTTTACACATAATTTCATCGTCCAAAAAAAAAAAAAAAAGTATAAGGTGGACGCTACCACCCTCTCCTTATAGACGTATTAAGACATGTCAGGTAGAAAATAACCTTGTGGTAGGAGGAAGAGAACTTAATAATTCTAAGAGAACTGACGCACTACATGGCCCGGAAAAAAAAACTATAGGCTTCATACCCCTCCTCCGTTAAGGAGTTTGCCCAAGAAGACCATCCACGCCCTCAAGCCTCGTGGGGTAGCTTGGGCTAGCAGAGCACACAGGCCCCCTCTCTCAAAGGCTCGTTCGCATACCGGGACTCAGTCCAGGCTGGGAACCACGGCCTCACGCGCCCATCTCAGCTGACCCGGCCGCCCTGCGGAACCTCGCCCGCGCGGACGGATTCCAGGCCGACCCCTCCACTACTTCGACGCCTGCGACCCCCCACAGCCTCCCGCCCTACCCGTACCTGGAGCGCCGCCGCCACCAAACCGCTCGCCCACCTCGTTGAAGAGAAAAAGGGCGGCGGAACCGGAAACCGCCGATTTGCCGCTGAGAGCGCCTGTGCACTCAGCACGCTGCGCGCTTGCGTCACAATCCGCGCCGCGCCCACCCCCGGCCCCGCCCTGCCGCCATATTGGGTGCTGGCGAACGAAGCCGCGGCGCCTGTGGGCAAGTGTCGCCATCCCGCTTCTGGGTGTAGGACCCGTCCTCCAAGTCACGTGAGGGGGCGGCTACATCTTTCTGGGTATTTCCAGATACCCTATGTTTGTGGGTTGCCAAAAACTGATGGCACACAGCGGCCTCTTGGGGGATGCCTCCTGACGACAGTAGAGGAGACTATTTGTGCTAAAGCCAAGGAATTAAGTAAAGGATCAGCGGGTCCAGGGCTCAGGGGTCAGGACACAGAAGGTAGGAGGAGGCGCAAGGGTGGGACGTGTGAGACACTTGGGAGCCACCTAACACTAGGAGTCAGTTATCTGAAAACTTTCTGGCCGCCGGGAGAGGATGAATTTCAAGGTGGCACTAAGAGCAGTGAGGGCAGGTGGAGCTGGTGCATTCACTCAAGAAAATGGGGTGCGACCCAGGGTCTGTTTGGGGCCATGGAGGACTTTTGTTAGGACTGAGTCTTGAGTTACCTATAGATTTGACAGCGTAGCTCTTTATTTCCTTGAACGCTTACCAGCGCCCCCTATTGACAGGCAAAAGCACACACTCTTGGATCTAGGAAGATGCCTTTAATAACATAATTAAATTTTTAAGTGCTTAAAAGACAAGGGAACTCTACAGTGTCTACTGGGGAATGGGACTCAGCCTGGGTCCCTAAGGAGTCCATCTTGAGACAAATCTGGAGGAGGAGTTTTTCAAAGAGCTAAGGGAATACTTGTGAGCAGTGGGAACAACTGTATGTGTGAGTACATACATAGGTGGTGATAGGAAGTTGGGTTATTATGGTTGCTACTGGAGACTCCCAACAGTAGCCACATCTGTTTCTAGCTCAATGGTACCTGGCCGTTCATACCCCTCCTGTCTCACATCCTGCACTTACTTATCCCCCATACGGCCGCCTGGGACCAAGGATGGAAGGAAGCCACTGCTAAGTACACCCTTCCCTTTTTAGTAACAGAGTCTTTTTATTGATAACTTCCCAACAGCATCTGTAAACATCGGGTACAAAAATATTCCGTTTAACTCTGTTTTCCAAGGTGGCTCAGCTTGCTCCATGGAGGCCCTGGGAGAGGCCTGCTGAGCCCTAGGGGTTCACACCTCTGGTCAGAGAAACACAGGCCTTATCAGGCTTGTGGCTGAATGGCCAGCCTTCATCTTGAGCCTTCTACAACTGTCTCAGAAACCTCCTTGAGATACCGATTGGAGACAGTATTCAATACTTTTGTTGGAAGAAGGGAGAAGGAGACCAGAATTAGTAGGTGCAGGGATGGGCTGGGGTGAACTCAGACAAGACAGTGCTGGTCCACTTTGAGGAGGTGTCGACCAAGGCACTGGGGCAGGGGCTATCTGGCTCTGGTCTCTGGGAGCCTTTAAATGTTGGTTAGAGCAAACTTCAAGCCTGGCTCTGGAGAAGCTCCCTTATGCCCAGCCCAACAACTCCAGCCAAGCTGATCATCCCCTGGCTTGGCAGAAGGGTCTGCAGAAGACATGTTCTCAATGAGGAAGAAGTGGGAATGACAGACCCCTAGGAGGTCCCACACCCTTGGGAGGGAGCCTTGTCCCCTGGGGAGCTCCAGGTGACAGAACAGGGTGGCAAAGCTGCTGATCTCCAGGCAGGGTTACCTGCTGCCACCTCAGACACCGAGGGAGTGCTGCCACTGCCCTGAGACCCCTTGGGGTGCCAGGGAGTAGTATTACTCGCCCGGTGTCTCCTCATCGTCTGTCTGGCTGCGGCCATTGATGGCAGGGGAGCTGGAGCGGACATGGGAGAGGTCCTCGAAGCCAGGGCTGAGGGAGGGCGAGACGGTGTCAGGACTGGTGTCACATGAGCCCGTGCTCTGTTCCGAGGTGGCAATGGTGGTTGTGGTGCTGGGCGGGATGAGGTCTTCATCCTCGTCCTCCAGGAGGGATGCCTCTGGGATGTCTGGGGGATGGAGTTGGTTTAGTCACTATGGTGGGCACTGTAATGAGGGATTTACTGGGCCTATGACCCCTGACAGCTCCCCTGCCACCCAACAGGGCATAATGTGGCCCATTTTACAGAGGAGGAAACTGAGGCCCTGGCAGGTGAGAGGTTTACCTTCAAGGTGCGGCCAGAACCTGGCTTCTCTGGGGTCAAGTCAACATGGGCCTTTGGCCTGAGCCTGAGCCTGGCTCTGCCTTCTTGACTGTGTTGCCAGGACCAGGATGCCTCAGCATTCTGCTCTATAAACCAGGCCTGATAATAGAATTGCCTTTTTTTTTTTTTAAAGGAAGCTCTACACTCAATGTGGCACTCGAATTCACAACCCCAAGATCAAGTCGCATGCTCTACTGACTGAGCCAGCCAGGTGCCCGGACAGAATTGCCCTTGTGCCTGTGGTTGTTAACAGCCTTGGGGTGGGGAAATGTCGGCCCATTTGGCAGAGGGCGCAGAATGAGGCTCAGCATGGGGGGATGCTGCACTGCCTCTGAGAAGTCACTGATCTTTTGGGCTACTTTCCCCCTGTATGAAATGGGATAGTCTCAGCCCACTTCATGGGTGGTTACAGGTAAGAGCCTGCCTCATAGGGCTATGTTAATCCACTTGGGCAAGGACTGTCATCGTTCTTATCCATATTCCCCTGTGTAACCTCCCCCCAGGAAGGGGATCCTGGTCCCACCATCTGCTCTACAGGTGGCCAAGACCAGAAAAGCACCCCCACCCCTGCCCCCTGCTCCAGGTCTCTCTGGATCTACTGCCCATTAGGGCCTGGACTCAGCGTCAGCCCCTGAGGTGACCTTCCAGAAGCCAGCCCTGGGGTGAGGGCACTGGCATCTGCGAGTACAGAGGCCAGGCATGGGGCACAAGAGCCCTGGATGACACTTACGGCTGAAGGCCTCCGGGTGCTGCCTGGCCAGCTTCCCTTTCAGCGTCCTGCAGGGGAAGGGAAGGCATACAGGGCTGAACCTGCCAAGCAGACAGGCTGGGCCTGGTGTACACCAGGAACCCTAACTGCCAGCTCCAGGTGGGTGGGGGATGGGAACCCCCCTCCCCCGGTACCACTTGTCACTGTTCCTGGGCTGGAGGGAGGCCCATGTGCTCAGCCCTGCAGACCTTTCACCCCTGGGCAGATGGCAGCCACCCAGCTGTCACAGAGCTTGCTTGCTTGCTTTATTTATTTGTTTGTTTGTTTATTTATTTATTTATTTATTTATTTCAGAGCTTCTGAGTGTCCTTGATGTTGGGCCTAGCTGGGCCCTCTACCTGCCATGCCCTTCTTATGTCTGCCCTCCTCTGTCCAGATAACCTTCCAGGAGGCTTCCTCACTCCATCCTCAGCAGTCACTCCTCTGAGTGACTTGTTCCAGTTGGTCCCCCATCACTGGGATGAGAGTGTCTGTGTTAGGAGTGATTATCCATTCCAGACACCACGTACCTTGCACATATTAAAATGTTGTTCACAAAGAAATGCCTGCTTCATTTCTAACCAGCTGTTTGTCCTTTTCTCCCCCCAAAGTAATAAAGTCATGTTTAAAAAGAATGATAAAGGGATCTTTGGGGTGGAGTCTCATCCTTGACCGTAGCCAACCAGTCCCCACCAGAAGTACTACCATTGCTGGGTCCCTACCCACAGGGCAACTGAGCAGAAACAACTTTCTTCTTCCCGGGCAATACAGATATGCACAAAGGGTGCCAATACTTGGGGTTCCAGCTCACCCCCAACACCACGCCTGGGCAACCAGCCCAATGAGACGCCCCAGAAAATATGTGCTTTTCTAAATATAATTGGCCCATCGCATGATTTCTGCTCTGCCAGTGGGTGCGGCTGCCCCCAGGGCCGAGGAAGTGACTCCATCAGTAGGGGAACTGTGGGTGCAGCTCTGGCTCACTCCAGGCCCAGGCATGTGGCCACAGTCATTAACAGTGGAACTGATGCAGGCTCTTGAGTGCTGCCTCGAGCATTCTGTGTTTCGTCACAGAAAAAAGCTCAGAAGGGACCGATAAAAAACTGGCAATTTCTTACAACTCTTGAGAGAAGACCTGGATTGGGGGCTGGAGGGACCAGAGGCTTGCCTTTCCCTGGCTGCACTTGCCTGCCTTTTGCATTACACATCTGGTGCTACAGTCCATTTTTTGAAAGATAAATGAAACTTAAATTCAGAAACTTCAAGATTTTTTATCCCAAAGTTCAGAACTTCTCAGATTCTAAGTGAGCGCTAAAGCCTCATAAAGCAAAGGAGCTAAATCTCCTTCATTGCTCTGTTATAGGGAGTGGATGGTCTTCATTGAACAGGGGAGGAACTTGAGGCTCAGAGGGGGAGGCAGAAGCTGGAGGGGCTGAGGACCCACCTGATCCTGCGGAAGATGCTGTCCAGGTCTCGCTTCATCTCCACCAGGGTCCTTGTGTGGTGCAGGAAGCGCTCGCTCATTTGCTGCAGGCGGGCACTTGACAGGTTGTTGAAATTCAGCAGCATCTCGTTGGTCTTCTCAAAGCGGTCCAGCCTGGCAACAGAGAGAAAGCACCAGCCCTACACACAATGCTCTACAAACTTGCCATGCCCCACAAACTAATCATGCTAAGCCCTTTCCTGCTTCATGATCTTTACATGTATTATTCCCTTGCCCTACAAAACTCTACCTGCTGTTTGAGCCATCTAGCAAACTTCTGTTCAACCTTCAAAACCCTACCCAAAAGGCACCTAGGTGGCTCAGTTGGTTAAGCGGCTGCCTTTGGCTCAAGTCATGATACCTGGGTCCTAGGATCGAGCCCCACATCAGGCTCCCTGCTCGATGAGCAACCTACTTCTCCCTCTCCACCACTTGTGCTCTCTTGTGTGCACTCTCTCAAATAAATAAATAAAATCTTTAAAAAACAAAAACTAAGGGGGATCCCTCGGTGGCTCAGTGGTTTAGTGCCTACCTTCAGCCCAGGGCATGATCCTGGAGTCCCGGGGTCGCGTCCCACATCAGGCTCCCTGCATGGAGCCTGCTTCTCCCTCTGCCTGTGTCTCTGCCTCTCTCTCTCTCTGTGTGTCTCTCATGAATAAATAAATAAAATCTTTAAAAAACAAACAAACAGATAAAAACAAACAAACAAAAAAACCCTAAAATCCTACCCAGTACATACTTCTCACATAGCCTTTACTCCCTCTCAAGCAGACTCTGACTCCTTGGACTTCCTAGACCCAAGTTATTCCTCTGGCCCAACCCTGATACCATGGGGCCAGGAAGGTCTGTGTCTGGTTTTGTCTTCCCTGACTGTGGGAGTTCATCAGGCCAGGACTAAATCTGACCCAGACAAACCCAGCACTCTTGTCACAGGATGAGAGAAGTGGAAGGGTATCAGGTCTGTATTGTGTCATAAGTGGAAGGAAGAGCCTTTGTCTTAAATACACAAAAATAAAGCCACAGGAGTCTGTGTTTCCACCCTAAGATTGTGTAAGCCTTTCTTCCCCACAGAGCAGGCTGGAATTAGGGTGAGGCTGTGGTGGTCACATGCCAAGCCCCAAGGAGGGCAAAGGGTGTTGACGGCCCCTCCAAAAGACCATGAGTACTCTGCAGAGGCAGCCTAGGCTCTGAGGGACCAGGTTCCTAATGGGAGATCTGTTCACTGGCTTCCTCAGATCCCCTCCTGCAGCCCCTTCCTATCCCCCACTCCCCACTCCAGGTCTTGGGATAGGAGCTGCTGCGGCCCCTGCCAAGGCATCCGCAGCTGCAAAACCATCCCAAAGCCCTGCTTCCTGTGCCAAGGCTTCGCCTCCAGGCCAGGAAGGAATTTACTTTGGAGCCAGCCGGCAAATTTGCTCATTTCCTTCATTTTATCACCAGTGTGGGCCCAGGGTAGGGGTGGGCAGGGCAAGAATGCTGGCCAGCAAGTGGATTCCTTCCCACGCCCGGGGCCCACAGCCCTTGGCCACCACTCACATGTTCTTCTGAGCCAGGATGATAGCATTGACGTCATCTGTGTTCACCATGCTCAGGATGCGGCTGCAGAAGACCCTCGAGGCCGAGTCCGGGGGGTCCATCTCTTCTTCCTCCTCCGCTGCCTGAAACAAGCAGGAAGAGTCTTCAGTCTATACCAGCCACTGGGGTAGGTGGGATGGAAGGAGGGTCTCAGAATCCCGGGCCCCATGACCATAAGTTGGTCACACCACCTGAGCCACGGCTTTGTCATCCTAAGAATTCAGGGGTGTTGGGAGGACATATCTGCAAATTGCACCCAAGTACATCAGAATTCCATCATCCACCCACCTCTGCGGCCCCCACTCTCCATGGGCCCAAGGCCATGGCCACTTCTACCTGCACAGATCTGTTAGTCTCCTCCCACATCCCCTTGCTTTGCTCATCCCACCATAGGGCTTTGCACCTGCTGTCCCTACAAGTATGACTGCCCCCTCGAATCATCACCACCTCCAGTATCTTCTCTCCCAAGAGGTCTTTGATAACCACTCCCTACTCTGGTTACTTTTAGCACATCGCTTTATTGCTTCATTGGCTCATCTTTTCCTAAAATTCTCTATGTTATCAATTGGCCTTTTTTTTAAAAGATGTATTTATCTTGGAGAGCATAGGTGTACACACACGAAGGGAAGGGAAGGGGGAGTGGGAGAGGGAGAGAATCCCACAACCCCATGATCCTGAGATCATGACCTGAACTGAAACCAAGAGTAGAACCTTAACCAACTGAGCCACCTAGGTGCCCCATCAGTTGACCTTTTCACCAGTTTGCTCCCAAAACATTGTCAGCTGCAAGAGGTATGTCTCTCTTCCAGAGCCCAGCCCAGAACCTGGCTCACAGCAAGGATCACCAGAACTTAGCTTAGCGGCTTTCAAACTCACCTCTAGTTAGGACAACAGACTTTTGTTTTGCTTTTAAAGATTTTATCTATTTATCTGAGAGAAAGGAAGTAAAGGCACATGAGCAGAGGGAAGGAGGGAGGGACAGGAGAGGGAGGAACAGATTCCCCACTGAGCAGGGAGGCTGATGTGAGGTGCAATCCCAGGACCTGGAGATCATAACCTGAGCCGAAGGCAGCAGCTTAATGGATTCAGCCCATTCAGGCACTCCGACGACGGTAGACTTTTATTAACAATTAAAGCCAAGAATTTCAGTCAGTCTGTGGGCCCCAGCAACCTAGATGGCTCTGTGGTTAGGCAGATGAGCATGATGGTGGGTAGGGGCCTCCTGGACCACGCCAGGGCAGGAGGGGCCACAGGTTCAGCACTCACCCTTGAGGGTAGGTGGCAGTGTCCTGCAAAACCTGGAGTCCTGGGCAGCCCCAATGGCCCAGTGGTTTAGCGCCACCTTCAGCCTGGGGTGTGATCCTGGAGACCTGGCATCGAGTCCCACATCAGGCTCCCTGCATGGCACCTGCTTCTCCCTCTGCCTGTGTCTCTGCCTCTCTCTTTCTCTGTCTCTCATGAATAAATAAATAAAATCTTAAAAAAAAACAAAAAACAAAACAAAACAAAAAAAACCCTGGAGTCCTGACATAGCTTGGCTCTGGGGTCCACATATTTAACTGCCAACAGAAAGGCCCAGTTGCAATTTGTTGAGATTCACATACAGGACCAGGAAGGGCTTTCAGAGCCCACTTAACTCTACCCTCCTCTTTATTGATCACTTACTGCATGCTATCAAACCACTAAGCTTCATACACTGAGAACTGTTATCCTTAATCACATATCAAGAAACTGAGACTCAGACACTGAGGAACTGGGTCATTGTCACATAGCCAGTAAACCCAAGTCACAACTCAAAAGCCCACAGTCTGCAGGATCCACAAAAGTGTGACTCTGAACAGATCTTCAATGCTCACCTACGCCAGGACAGCTGCTTCTTACAGCAACTGACTCCTGCCACACTTCTGAATTTTTCCAGGAAAAAAAACAAACAAACCAGAAGTGTGTGTGTGCATGCGTGCGTGTGAAATTGCCTAATTTACAAATGTTAATACTTTTCTCCCTGCAAGCATCAAGGAGGCCAAGAGTTATTTGCAGCCCCTACTGTCTTCTGGAAATAAACTGCCACACCTGGTGAAGTTCCCCTCACCCAATAATCACTGTTTATTGAATTCCTACTACATGCCAAGTACTAACACCCACAGTATCCACATTTCCAAAGAAGTATGATCATATATAAAGAGGACACTTGGGCTCGAAGGGCAGAGCCCTGTGGCAGGAAGCCCCACAGCTAGTGCTTGGGAGGTGCAAGATTTGGACCCGTGGAAAATGGTTCTGCTCCAAAGTAGGGCTCTTTCCTGTCTCTGGGTCCCAGATGCGAAGGCTGAGGGATTCAAGGCACACTCTCCATCCAGCTGCCTTTCTCAGGAAGACTTCGCTAACAGCTAGTCTGGCCCACATACAGGGTGGAAATGACCCAGCAAGAGCTCTGATCCCTGCTCCAAATGTATTTATGAGGAAAACATGCAGAGAGGGAGGCTGTGTGACCTTGGGAGAGTCACCTCACCTCCCTGAATCAGTTTTCTCATCCAGAAAAGGACAGTAACAAAGAATCAGAACTTTACAGTGCTGTCTGTGGGGACTGAAACTAATGGTGATAAGGAGCTGGGCTCAGAGCAGGCTGCTTCTCCATGCAGAGTATGAAGTCCTAGGGCGGGGCCGGGGAACCAGCATTTTAGCCAGGGGCTCCCTGGTACTTCCAAGAACAGGAACAAACACTTGGACAGCACTTCATTTAATCCCCAATCTCCCCTATAAGGCAAACACTATCATCTCCAAGGGCACTAAGGCTCACACGGGTGGGTTCAGTTACCCAAGGTCACACGGCAAGGCAGAGGCGCCATAATTCCATCCGCTTATTTAACAAAATTTAACTTGGCGACCCAACCTTAGCAAAATCCGCGAGTGAGGTGGGACTCGCATAACCCCTCACGCCCCCCCCCCCTGCAAAGCGGGGAAACTGAGGCCCAAAGAGGGCAACGCCCGGTTCCGGGTGACACTGCACAGCCTGAACATAGGCCGCCCCAGCTCCCGCGCCCCGGATCCGGAACCGGCCCGTGGCGCCGCCGGCGCATACATTGCGCGGACGGGGAAACTGAGGCCTGTACGCAGGGGGGAGCCCAGATGTGGCCAGCGGCGCGCCCCACCCCGCGACAGCCCGGGGGCCGCGCCCGACCCGGCCCGGCTCCCCAGTGGTCCCGGCGTCCCCAGCCCCACCCCGAACTCGGCCCCGGCGTCGGTGACAGCAGCACCTGCACATCTGGCGGCCTTGCTCGCGCTTCCGGGATGGCGCCCGCGACGTCACCACGCACCATGCGTGCGATCAGGCGTGTAGGCGACGTGCTTGGGGCCGATATGCGTGCTAGGAGGCGCGGCAGGAAGGGGTGGGGCTTAGGGGCTGCTACTGTTCTCAAGTGCGTCACCACGAATAGCCAATCAAGCAGTCTCTCTCGCGCCTGCGTAGTTTCCAACGCCCGAGATGCCCGGAAGGGGGCGGGCATCCTATTTAGTAGAAGGTAAGACTGAGGTCTGACGGCGGTAGGGACTTCTTCAAGGTCACGCGGTGCCCAAGTGGCCTGCGGTTGAGCCAGACCCAGGCAGCCTGCTTTCTAGGTTGGGAATCAGATTCATCTAGTTCAGAAATCCCTTCTCCGCTTTTGGTGACCTTTCTCTGGTCCAGGATCCCATCCAAGATCTCATGTTGCGTTTAGTCGTGTCTCCGCAGTCTCCACTCTGTGGCAGTTCCTCAGTCTTTCCTAGTCTTTTATGACCTTAATACTTTTTTTTTTAAAGATTTTATTCATTTATTCATGAGAGACACAGAGAGAGAGGCAGAGACACAGGCAGAAGGCAGACCCCATGCAAGGAGCCCCACGCAAGGAGCCCCACGCAAGGACTCGATCCTGGGACTCCAGGATCACGCCCTGGGCCGAAGGCAGGTGCCAAACCGCTGAGCCACCGAGGGATTCCCTGACCTTAGTACTTTTGAAGAGTGCTAGTTTTGTAGACTACTCATCAATATGGGTTTGTCCCATGTTTCCTCATGATTAGACTGAAGTTTCTCACTGGGCAGGAATCCCACAGAAGTGATGTTGTGTCTTTTTCAATACATCATATCTGGAGTCATAGGATATTGATGTGTCTAATTATTGGTGATGTTGACTTTGGTTACTTGCTTAAAGCAATGTCTGCCAGTTTCTCAACTGTTAAGTTACCCTTTCCTCCCTTTCAATAAGTATCTTATGAGATACCTCAAGAGACCATGCAAACACCCTAACTTTTTTTTTTAATTTTTTATTTTTATTTATGATAGTCACAGAGAGAGAGAGGCAGAGACACAGGCAGAGGGAGAAGCAGGCTCCATGCACCGGGAGCCCGACGTGGGATTCGATCCCGGGTCTCCAGGATCGCGCCCTGGGCCAAAGGCAGGCGCCAAACCGCTGCGCCACCCAGGGATCCCAACTTTTTTTTTTTTAATACATTTTCACCCACTAGTTTTAGCATCCATCCATGGTTCTTGCTGGCAACAATTACTATGGTGATTTTCTATTTATTAATCATTAATTGGAATTCTATTATAAACAACAACTGTCCATTCTACTCTAGTTATACATTTATTCAAGTATTTATGTCAATATGAACTCATGAGCATTTTATTTTGTGGGTTACAATTATTTCTTACTTTCCTCTTTTTTTTTTTTTTTAATTTTTATTTTAGGTAGGCTCCGTGCTCAAGGTGGGACTTGAACCCAGGATGAGATCAAAAGTCACATGCTCTAAGGACTGAGCCAGCCAGCAGCTCCTACAATTAATTAGTTACTTTGCTGCCCCTTTAGGTTAGCTTCTATGTTCTTTCAGTATGTCTCCATTTGGGGGGGCACTTGGGTGGCTCAGTCAGTTAAGCATCCAACTCTTTATTTTGGCTCTAGTCCTGATGTCAGGGTTGTGGGATCAGGCTCCTCTCTCAGTGGGGAGGCTATTGAGATTCTCTCTCCTTTTTCTCACTGCCCCCTCCTCCCTTAAATAATTTTTTAAAATTTAATAATATGTCTCCATCTTTCTCTGAGTACTTCCTTACTTTTAGCACTGCAAGATGTTCCATGCTTGGTTTGGAATATCACTGGAATCAGCCATCTCTCCAAAGATCCTGGTTCCTTTTCTTGGAGAATGGTATTCAGAAACCAAGGTCTGGGTGCTGGGTGTGCTCACTGCTCCTGGGGTGTCTGCTCAGAGACCTTCTCAGCAGCAAGAGTTAGAAAATATACATATATATACTAACCAATGCATAAACATTTATATTTCTATATGTTCTTTTTTATGTATACTGAAAACCATGAGTTCATACTGATTCAAAGATGCACTTTAAGTGAGATAATTCAAGTTAAATGCATAAACAAAACAGGGCAAATAGTACTTGCTCAATAAATGTTAGCAATTAATTATCACTAGTTGTTGAGGTCTTATGTTGTGTATATGATATGTATGCATCTAATTTTTCTATGTCTCAGTTTATTAACTATGAGTGATCATAGCATTTGCCTCTTAAGGTTGTTGAGAGCTTGAGAGATCTCTCAAAAGCCCTTGGGTACATGGAAGACTCTTTAAGACCCCTGAAATTAAACATATTTGAGTTCTAATTCTAGCTCTGTCACATCCTAGCTGAGTAGACTTCGGCAAATGGCTTAACCTTATGAAAGCATACAGATTAATTCCTTATAATAAGGCTTGGCCCACTATAAGCCCTTAGTAAACTGAGGATGAAGTATTATTACTCCCATATTCTGCTGCCGTCATTCATTGAAAAGTTAATGAGGACCAGGATTATTATATATTTAGTTTAACAGTATTAAAAATTGTTCAGTAAGCCCTCTAAGCACTTCCCCTGGGGGTGGCCCATATTCTGGGGATCCAGAGAGTACTCAGTCCCTGCCTAGCCCTGAGGATCAAAGGACACAGTCTGACACAGACAATCCCAGTACCAAAGAAAACAATGCAGGGCTATAAAGAGGAGAGACTCAACCTGGAGGAACCTGAAGAGTGGGGTATGAGGACTCATTTGGGGGCAAGGAAGTAGGTACATCTGGATGGGGTTTTGAGGTAGCATTAGGAGTTTTCTAGGTTCTGACATTCAGGACTGAGAGAATCACAGGAGCAAAGGTAGGATGATGCGAAAGCACATAGTGTGCCTTTGACTTCTGTAAGAATTGTGGAACTCTCTGAGTCAGGCAGCAGCCAATGCTGAGGGAAGAGCCTGGGTGGGGCATGCTGGGAACCATGGTTCTGTCTGAGGGCTGCAGTAGAAGAGGCCCAGACTGGAAAAAACAAGCTTTTCCTTTATTTATTTATTTATTTATTTATTTATTTATTTATTTATTTATTTATTTATTTATTTATTTATGATAGTCACACAGAGAGAGGGAGAGGCAGGCTCCATGCACCGGGAGCCCGACGTGGGATTCGATCCCGGGTCTCCAGGATCGCGCCCTGGGCCAAAGGCAGGCGCCAAACCGCTGCACCACCCAGGGATCCCAAAACAAGCTTTTCCATTGGTCCCTCAGGCTCTGTTGGAAGCCAGGAAACATTTATCAGGGTCCTGGAAGGGGTGGGGGCTATAAGTCAAGGTTAAAGGGACTTGACTGGCCCCAAATGTTTCATGCACAGTGGAGTAGAGACAAGAAAATATCTTTTTTCTTTGTGTGTTCAAGGGAGAGGGTGAAAAGTGATGGGAACACTCGGACCAGTGATAGAGACATTCTTGGGGGGAGGCCTAAGTCTGGGAATTGGAAGCCTCTCTCTATCATTTTTTTAGTTTTATTTCCTATTTTGTGCTTATCGCGGTTGCAGTTAGATACTTACCTGAATCATTATGCAATATCCAGCTCCCCGGGTGGAATAGAAGCTCAATAGGGGAAGAGACCTGGCCTATATTTTTTTTTTCATCACTGTGACCTTGAACAAGACAATTACTTTCTTTGTGCCTCAGTTTCCCCATCTGTAAGATCACAATTGTCTTACCGAAAAAACATGCATCCAATCCTAAAGAAAGCAAGAACAGGAAGAGAAAAGGAGCACAGAGCAGGTGATTCAGAGAAAACACACACAAGAGCTCAAATTTAAGTCTTCATATGTCAATAATCATATTAAATGTAAATAGGCCAAATGCTCCAGGTAAAAGACAAAAATGGGTAGACTAGATCAAAAAGGAAAACCCAATTCTGTGCTGCTTACAAGAGACACACATACAACGTAAGGGTACAGAAAGCTGGAAGGTAAAGGTTGCAAAAGGATAGAGCATTTTTTAAATGAGCCAAAAGAAAAAAAAATACTGAGCCAAAAGAGGACAGATGTACCACCTTAATATCAGACAAAGTCCACTCTAAGGCAAAAAGCATTGAAATAAAGAGAAGCATATCATAACAATAAAAAGTCCAGCTTACCAGGAAACTATGACAATTGCAATACTACTAGGCAGTCAATGAGATGGCCTCCAAATATCAACCTTTGTCTCATAAGGCTGATGGGAGGATGAAATATACATGAAGTGTTTGCCTTCACTTGTGAAGTCTGAATGTTAGTTATGACTATTATTGTTGCAATAGTTGCTGTTATTAGTTTATATTTAACTTAGTTGTTTATTAGTATCATTGTTTATTGCAGTTCTTCTAGCCTTTATAACAGAGGTGGGGCTGGATGGGTAAGAGACTCCACTATGTAGATAAAAACACTGAGGTTTAGAGATGGTCAGGGAATAGTCCAAGTCCCTCAGAACCATGGGTAACTCAGGGTTTATTTGATGTTCTTTCTCAGGAAATTTCTCATATGTCCTCACTGTCCTAGCACCTCTTTGGCTAACTGGCCTGCTTTCCTACCAACCACAAAGATTTCCCTGAATTTCCCCCACCCCCTCTCTTTTTATGCCAGTCACTGTGTAGGCCCCAGTGCTAAAACAATGACAAACAACAGACTCTTCCCAGACTATGGGGGTTTTCCAATCTAATGGGCAAGGCAGAGGTAAGTCAAATAATGGCACAGACATAAAATCAGTTACAAAGTAGAGGTTCATCATGCTAAGAGGACAGCCAACCAGACCTTGTTTGGGAAGGTCATGGAGAGCTTCCTGTAGGAGGTGACCTTGGAAGGAGCTTCAATCTGATAGGTTAGTTGCCTCCAAAAGCAGTTACCTCCTTCGGGGTTAGGTACCTCCAATAGACAGTGACTCATTCATTCATTCATTCACTCACTCATTCAATTATTCACTCATTTATTGTACTCCCATATCATAGGTGCTAGGCTTCATTCAAGGATGCAGTGGAGACAAAACAGGAAAAATTCTTTTCCAGGATGGAGCAGCATGGGATAAGGGGAGGGAAGCAAA